ATAGGTGGCATCCCAAGAGAGGCCTTCTGCAGGTTTGGGGAGCGTGGTTTTGTCTAGGGAGTGATATGAAAGTGTGCGTGAGGGTGGAGGCTGTCTGTTCTTTCTTTTATTTCACTTATTCATTTTGGAGAGATTCACTGAGCAGGTGGGATAGGGGTATGAACTTTCTTTGCAGTGATAGGGTAGTCAGAAAGATATCCCTGGTGTGGATGGAGAGTGTGGCCTATCGTGGGGCGGGGGAAGGCCAGAAGGAAGAGTCACAGAATACTTCTGCCCAAGAGAGCTGGGCAGAACATCTTATTGGAAGCGGCATTTGAGCTGGGGACAGCTAAGAGGCCACCAGGCAGATAAACAGTGGACAGCCCTGGAGACAGAACAGACAGCCTCATGTATTTAAGGAAATCTGTGGAGGAGGAAAGGGGTTGGGCACAACCATAGTTTCCTACATGCCTGATGCTTCAGGATATCCAGTCGGGAGCCAGAACGTAGCAGAGTTCCTGTAGCTGTCTGGGTTCTGTTCCCCTGTCAATACATGGCAACAGACAGTGGGACCCAGTCTGTCTGTGAGATGCCCAGGAGGTCCTGGGAACAGGAGCTGGGGACTCTGGTATCCTTCATCCAATCCCCTGCTTGAATCCTTTGGGCCTGCCCCTCCCCCAGGCTCTTTTTGGGTAGGGAGCCTATGGCTTGCCCTGATTTCCCAGAGGCTACCGAGGCCCCAGCCAGGGAGGCCCTCCTCAGGGGGTGCTAGCAGCCCCTAATTGCACACTGCATTCCTGGGAGTGATTTAGCAGGGCCAATTAGGAGAGGCCCTCATCAAGTGGGTGAGAGAGGAAGCGCCACTGGCCACTCTGGGGCCAGCTTTCCTGCTTTCCTCGGGAGAGTGACATGGGTAAATGAAGGTGTGATCGATGGCTCCATGCCGCGTGCTCCGTGACAAAGGAGGTTGGTAAACTCTTGGTGAACTCCTGTGGCATTCAGCTGTTGGTGTGTGTCCCTCAGTGGTGCAGATAGGCAGCATGGGCAGACTCTTTACCTCTCCCCCTCCTCCTCCTCCCCCCTCTTTATACCCCCTTCCCACTCCGAGCAATGCCAGACCACCCCCCCCCGCCCCCTGCTAGTCCTTTGATTGGTGTAGACAGCGCACTGCAGCCCCAGCCAGAGAGCGAGGGAAACAGGGCCAGCAGAGTGAGATGCCCCTGCAGAGCCAAACTTTTGGAGTCCTGTGACATCACCTCAAGCCTAAGAAACCATAGAGACCTCCCTTCTGTACGGACGAGGAGATGGAAAGAGCAGGCTATGGATGAGTTACTGGACAGCCCTGGCTGTTGCCTACTAGTTGAGGACCATTTCCTAACCCCTCAAGCTTGCTTGATAATCGGAACTCTTGGGGCACTCACTCAGGGCCACCTCGAAGATGAAATGTGTTTGTGGGTCTCCAAAGGGAGGACAGACCTGCCTGCTTGGTGACTGGTTGGTGGATACTTCCCTTTGTACTGGGATGGGGGGGGGGGGTTTCCATAGTAAGCACATGTTTAGATATGTCCTGTCCACTCAAAGTAGAAACTTGTGGCCTCCCAGGCCCTGCTTCTGCTCACCAGGGTTCTCCTTCTTATGTGCAGAACTGCCTTTTTGAGAAGCCTCACATGGCAAGAGGGGGTGGAGGCTGTGTTCTTGCTCCAGGGCTCAGCACTGCCATGCCACAGTCTGGGACACTGGCTGGGTCCAGAGGATACCACCCCCAGCAGATAGCTACCCCCTTCAGAGCATGTGACTTACGCAGGCGATCGAGTGGGGTCTTAAAGCCCTCCGTATGCCTATTCCCTGCACGGTACCCTCTTTGTGACCGACATGGTGGTATAGATAGAAAAAGTTTGCCACACTGCCCCTGCCACCTAGTGGCAACAGGACACTGTGGTTGGAGGATTTGGAAGCCGAGAGTGACCAGAGTGAAGAAGGCGAGATCTAATGAAGAATTCTTGTTCTTCACGTGGAGTCTCCAGCCACCAGAAGCCACCAGGAAGCCATGGATAGAGTCGAGTCTGTTCTGCAGGTGGGAGGGCTGGGCAGATTCGCCCAGAGCCCTGTCAGGCCTTAGAGAGTATAAGAAGATAAGATCTGGAGCCTTCCACGTAGGTGTCTGCTTTGCCCTTTATGGATCTTGAGTAGCAGGGTGACTCCATGCCCTGGGCTTGTCATTAAAATTACCCTCGAGGAGGCCCTGGGATAGGGCACAGGGGCCTTGGCAAGCTCCGAATGACATCGTGACATCATGACATACCCTCCCTTGGCTTCTGGGCAACTCAGGAACACTAGGGGCCCTTGCTGTTCTTCCATGGAAACTGGGATAGCCGTCTCAGGCGACGCCCCAGCCCCTTCCCACCAAGGCTGAGCCATGGTTGGTTGCTTGCCCCTTCATGTGCCTGTGGGGGATAGCTTCATGGTTGCCTCTGCCCTTGTTGCCTTCTGTTGCTGTAACAGGATATCACAGACTGGGCAGTTTGTGAAGAACAGAGGTTTATTCAGCTCTGGGTTCCAGGCTTGGGAAGTCCAGTAGCCCAGTGTTGGTTTCTGAGAAGGACTTTCTTTGCTTGTCTCACTGGCCAAGGGCATCATCACACAGTCAGACCTCGGGCATGCTAACTCAGGTTTCTCTTCCACTTGCAAAGCCAGGACTGTCACCTAGGGCCCCACCTTGATGACCTCATCTCATGTGATCAACTCCCAGAAGTCCCTGCCCCCATATTACTGACAACTTGAGTTTTGGAGTTGAGTTTCCAATACACGTAACTGAGGGCACATGTATTGTGTAGTTGAAACCCCATCACAACTCATTTACATTAAAAAATAATTCATGGGGCCGGAGGGGGACGTGTGCCATGCTTGTGGAGGTCATCAGAGAAACACTTGTTGGTTCTCTCTTTTCTACCACCTAGGATCCAGGGATAAACTCAGTCCATTGGGCTTGGTGGAAGGTGCTGCGTTCACCCTCTGAGCCAGCTCACGGGCGGCCATCTGACTCAGCTCATTTGAACTCAAGTTTAAAAACTTAAGTGGTGCCTAGTGAGATGGCTCCTATGTAATCCCAGCACCCCGGGAGCTGAGGCAGAAAGACTGCCAAGAATTCCAGGCCAACTCCGACTATCGAGTGAGGTCCCCACAAAAGCCTTCAGTGGAAAGAGTAGTTCTGATTTGAGACCACCAGGAAGGATGGCAAGAGGCTGGGAGCAAGGGGCTGTGGGTAAAGACTGCTGTCAGTGAACAGATGTCTGCTCTGCCTCTGACGCTGGTGGTCCTGGGAGGACAGACCTGCCTGCTTGGTGACTGGTTGGAGGATACTTCCCTTTGTACTGGGATGGGGGGGGGGGTTTCCATAGTAAGCACATGTTTAGATATGTCCTGTCCACTCAAAGTAGAAACTTGTGGCCTCCCAGGCCCTGCTTCTGCTCACCAGGGTTCTCCTTCTTATGTGCAGAACTGCCTTTTTGAGAAGCCTCACATGGCAAGAGGGGGTGGAGGCTGTGTTCTTGCTCCAGGGCTCAGCACTGCCATGCCACAGTCTGGGACACTGGCTGGGTCCAGAGGATACCACCCCCAGCAGATGACAGTTTGAGTTGAGGGATTGCTCCATGAGCGACCATGGCCCCCAGAGGCTGGGTGACCCTCCTTCAGGGTATCTGTTTGAGAGCCTGAGTCTGGTGGCTCCTGACCCCCACCTCCCACTCCGTGAGCCACCCTGCTCCTTCAGGTCTGCCTTAGGAACAGAGTCAACACTGAATTTGATCCACTCCCTAGGCCTCAGGTGTGCCTCTCTGTCCATCACAGCCCTTCACCAGCCATTCTCCCTTTCTAGCTTTGAGCTTTGACCCGACTCATACGCCCTGGCCATGCAGGGAGCCCTATGAGAGGCCGTTCAGCAGAGACAGGGAAGGAGGGAAGGGTCTAGGGAGGGCTGTCCCAACTCTGCTGAAGAGAGAGCAGCTGAGCACCTGGCCCTGAGCCATGCTCCTGCAGAGTCAGTTTCTGTAGTGGCGGCTTCTGGGAGCCTCTCAGGAGGAGGGGAAGACCGAACAACGAGGAGGACTGACCTGTTCCTTCATACCTGGCCTCTGTGGGACCTGCCCAACCTATGGAATAGGAGAGCCAGTACCCCTAGTCTAGAACACCCTCTTCCAGGGATTTCAGGTAGCTCAGTTACAACATCTCCTGCTGACATCCATGGAGCTGTTTGAGTCTTGGTAATGAATGGCCACTAAGTCCCGGCCTTAGTTGCTCATGAACAGTGGGGTAGGACGGGAGGGCAGGATAAGCAGCAATCCCTGGAGGAAGCCAGGGTACCAGCCTGCTTGTTTGGCACGTAGGGCTAGGAAGTGGAGAAGCGCCTCTTGGTGTGGGTGCCCGGGAGTCTGAGACCTCTCTAGCAGGTAAAGTTTTATCCTTCCGCTGTCCACTGCCACCTGGGGGTAGGGGGAGCTTTTTAAGGTGATGGCAGGTGGAGTACCAGACTGTCAGTTCTGGGGACGGACCAAGGGCAGACTGGTTTTGGGTGGTCCTCAGTAGGAGAGAGGGGGGAGTCAGTATGAGCTTTGGGTGTTCACGGTTGCTTCCTATCTAGGTGGCTGAGTCCTGAACAGTCCTTGTGTGGTCTGTTCATAGAGTCTGGGTGCCTGTGGTATAGTCTCAAGAGCCCCTCCCCGGCTGGGTCCAGCTCCCTCAACTCTGTGTGGGTCCACGCACCCACTGAGGGTACTGTCCTAGCTGTGTCCCCAACCTGCCTCGGAAGTGGTCACTTGCACTGTGCCTGGCTCTCCCCTTCTGTACAGCCCCTCCAGGCACTGACTGCTTCCCATGTGAAACAGGCAGGCCAGCGTGGCCCTCAAGTCCAAATCCTCTAGGATAAGTCATTGAGTTAAATGCCATTTGCTCTCAAAGCCTGTAGAGTCCATCTATGCTGGGAAAAAAGAGAGGTGTGTGGGAAAGAAACCACTACCCAGTTCCCCTCCAGTCATAAAAATGGATGCAATTTATTTTTTCTGGCATTCCAATTACATAGATGTTTGTCGCCAGCTGTTCCAACACGGAGCGTTCTTTCAGCTGCCGTTTCTTCTCTCACATTTGACACTGTTAGGCCACAAGTCTGGCAGGGCCTGGGTTGGTGGGATCATTAGCTTGGGGGGCCTCCCAGGTGAGCTGGGCCGGCTTTCCTTGCAAGGGCCTATGATGTTCCCTGGGTGGTCTGAGGTGAGGTCGAGGCTGAGGTGCCGCGGTCCCAGCCCCGTGGATCACAACTCTTGCCTTTCACCCTGCAGTGCTGGATATGAAGGAAGACTCAGGAGCCTCAATGGTAGCGAGAGAGAAGCAATGCGCATGCGCGGACATGAAAGCGGTCTGTGCTCTAGGAACCCGCCATGCTTAGGACATGGATGCTGCAGAAAGATGTCTGTGTAGAGTTGGGCGGAATCCCCGGAGCCCTACACCTCTCAAGAGCGCAGCCATCTCTGGCATGTTTGTGTTTAGCTCTGAAGTAAACAAAATGTAGGACTTGGGGGCTAGACTAGGTTTTAAGTCCTGGCAGCGGTACTTCTTTCTTGGTGCCTCTGATCCCGAGGTCTCTTCACCATAAGGCAAGAACGCCATACCTTTCCTGTTCTGATGGGAATAAACAAAACCGTGTGTCAGAAAGGGACTACCCTTTTCTCAGAAAGGGAATCTCTGAATTTACAGCGACAAGGTGACAAGTTCGTATCCAGCCCTAGGAAGGAACATCTCAGGAAAGGGCAGGTCCGCAGGGCCGGCAGATGAGGACTCTCCAGTCTCTAGCATGTGAATCTGAAGCATTGGTCCTGTCCTTTAAAGTGAGGCCAGCAAGCCGGCAGTCCATAAATCCTAGATTTCAAAGGGCACGGATCTATACCAAGGAACCTAGGCAACATTTGGTGCTGAAGAATGCCAATAAACAGACCACCATCAACAGACACCAGCCATATGGTGAGGCCCACTGTGCACCAGACACTGCGCCCGCCATCTCTACCCCTTGTTAATAATACCCCCGGAGTCAGGAGCGATGCCCCCTCTGCACAGAATGGAAACAGGCCAAGAGAAGGCCCTGGGCCATAGGGCCAAGAAGTAGGTTTTCTTTCTTTGGCTGAAAACTGCAAGCTCTTTCTCCCCTGAAACTTGCCCAGGAGCGTCAGCTCCCCCCCCCCCCCCATGTCCTGTGCCCTACCCACTTGGAGCCCTTATGTAAATAGGCATCTGCAGCACGTGGAGGTTCCATTTAGCTGCAGGGAGCCAATAGCCCGCTGGTGGTGGCGAGGAGTGGGGTGGGCCGGGATTCGGGGGCGGGGGTGTCATCAGCTCCGAGCACCCCCAGGGCTGCGCCGCCAGTGAGGCCTGACACCGGGTTAAGTCGCCTGGCGGCCTCCGGCTGCAGCTGGGAGCGCCGCCTGGTTCCCATTCGGTGCTGTGGTTTTGATTAGCAGCTGCGAGAGGCGGGCCTGGCTGCGAGTCTATGGGAGCTCCGCAGGAACAGCGGGTCCCCCCCTCCAGGCCGCCCGCCCCCCCTCCTGGCAACCCCAGACTCCAGATGTTCCGAGCGCTCGCTGGGAAGGCCTGCTGGCGCCACGGAGGGCAGAGGGCAGGGAAAGCACGCGAGTTGGAAGCCCAAGAACTCAGTCACCGCAGGCCTTGGCAGCCCGCCCGGCCCTCCGCTGGCACATTCCCCAGCTCTCCCCTGGCCATCTGTTCCCAAAAAGCCCTTTCAGAACCTCATCATCACTCAGGATACAACAGCGCGAGCAGCTGGTTTGGAGGCAGCAGCGAAAACCGTGCAAAAGGTTCTTTGTGAGAGGAAACTCGCTTATGAATAACAGGGCTGGATGCCGTAAAAGTTGGCGGCCGCAGTTCGTGTTTCTCAGGCGCCGCCGCTGTTTGCTCTTGACTTTTTATCTCGGGTTTTTATTCCTCCCCACCCCCCACGCCCTTGTTTGCCTTCAGTGTGTTTTTTTTCTTCCTTTTCTGACACCAGGTGTCATTTCTTCCTCCTTGGGAGTACCTGAAGGCCACCTAATTAGTTCCTAGGATACTGTCAGCTTTTCTTTTTGGTCTCAAAGCTGTTAACCCCGAGGGTAGTGGGAAGTGACTGTTTCCCTCTGGTTTGGAAGAGACTGGCAAGCAAGAAGGTCGGGGAGTCTAATGGGAGGGCAGCAGCTGGGGAGATGCTCTCAGTAAGTGAAGTGCTTGCCGTGCAAGAGTGAGGATCGGAGTAGAAAGTCAAGGGTGGCAGCATGCGTCGTCGATTCAATGGCAGGGCTCAGGGAGAGACCCTGTCTCAAAAAAGAAAGGAAGGTAGTGTACAGAAGTGAGGGAGATACCCTGATGTTAACCTTTGTCCCCCACGTGACACACACACACACACACACACACACACACACACACACACATACACACACACACATACACACACACACATACACACACACATACACACACACACACATACACACACACACATACACACACACACATACACACACATACACATACACACACACACATACACACACACATACACACACACACACACATACACACACACATACACACACATACACATACACACACACACACACACACACATACACACACACACACATACACACACACACATACACACACACATACACACACACATACACACACACACACATACACACACACACATACACACACACATACACACACACACACACATACACACACATACACATACACACACACACACACACACACACACACACACACACACACACCTGGATTAGCGTGGCTAGGTCCCGACCTGTTCATTGCTGAGGTGTCTCCAAAAGTCCCGGTCCTAACTTGTCATCGTCGGAGTGCTAACGAACATGGAGGTGGGAAGTTATCCCATCGTTACCCTGACTGACCCCAGCTTGCAGAAGCAAGCATGTGCTGGGGTGGGACCAGCAGAAGGGACCCCACCACGGGCTCATCAGAAGGCAGCACCGAGGAGCTTTTGGGAGAACAGTGGTAGCCAGAAACACCCCGGTGCCTGGGCCCCCACAGCTGACTGCAGCCTGACATGAAGTCTTTTTAAAGAACCGGCTGCTGCCACTGCCGCCAGAGGCTTCTGGGACATGTCTGCTCAGAATCTGGGCACCTTCTGGGAACAGTCACCAGGTGGCCTGTCCAGGGCTGTGGGGTTCTGGGGCAGGGCTGGCAGCTGGGATGAAAAGCGAGAAGAGCAGGGCCTCCCGTCTCCCTGGCACCCCTTGGGACAGGGAACGAACCGGTCAAGACTGTTTGGTAGGGTAGGGCAGGGTGCCTCTGGTGTTAATGCAGTTATGGGGTGGGGCCGGGGACAGTGTGGAGTTCTCTTTTGCTTCCTCAGCCCCCTGCACTTCTTTGCCGTTTGCTGCCTCCCTACTGTCCCTTCAAGACCCCAGAGCCATCAGCTCCTCGCTTAGCAGTGTGAAAGGACTGCCAGTGGCCTGCTTTCCCCACGCCTACCATTGGGCCTTTGGAGAGCGCGTTGCATTTCTTCTGAGCTTTCTTCAAACCTCTCCCCCTTTTCTCCTGCCTTACCCTCTGCTTTTCTCCCATCCACGGTGAGCTGGGCAGATAGGGCAGGACCAAAGGTTTATTTTACCATAATTTCAGGGCCATTAATCTCACGTCCAGAGGGGCTTGGCGCCAGTCCTGGGGTCCTCCCTGTGTGGCCTCCGTGGGGGTGGGGGTGTATGGGTATTTGGTCTGGACTGGGTCTCAGTGGTGCTTTGGGGACCATGAGACCTTGTTCAAGAATCTTAGGCTTGGCTGAGGCCAGAGGTATGGAGGACCTAGGAAAGAATAGTGACTGCTGAGCCTATGCCCCTGGGGACAAGGTGGAACTGGCCCAGTGACCAGGCATTGATTTTAGTTCTAGGTTTCCAGAGGACAAGGTTTGGGGAGGGGTTACCTGCCCACTGCTTAGCCCTGATGGGCAGAGTGTGTTGGCCGGCCCTGGAACTGCTTGTCCCCTTTATACCCACCCCAGCAGGCCTGATAACAGATTCTAGGAGAAAAAAGAACCCTCCCCTCCTTGATTTCCCAGTATACGTGTGTCTAAAGGACAGAGTTGGGGGCCAGTCCCTCCTTTAAGATATTCATGGTTATCCCAGTCCTGTGCCAGCAGCCAAGCAGCTCAGACTCCAGCACTCCCCCAGGACCCATCCCAGATGCTGAGCAGGAGCCAGGCCGGCAGCTTCACTCACCCATTCAGGATTCCCAGGTATTCTCCATAGGTGAGACATAAGTCAGACTCAAGAGGACACCTGACTGTCCCCGCCGCCACCCCCGCCGGCCCAGCCCCAGCCACCTATTCATTGTGTCCCAGAGCTCCTGGCCTGCTCTGCGTGTATGCTAGCCTTGTTTATGATAACCACCCCAGCCTCTCAGCTGGTCTAGCTCTGCCTCACTCCCACCCATTGTGAAAGGCTCACTTCCTCCAGGAAGCCCTCCTGGACCCCTACTCCAGTTTCCTCATGGGGCCTGTAGAACAGCTTTGGGGATCCAGGGTTTTCCTTTCTTCCTCATGACTACACAGTGGCTGCTGTAGCCTCAAGCGCTTCCACCTCAAAGGGCATCCAGAATCTGGGTGGGGACAAGACCCAGATGAAGGCATCTTTTCTTCAGTGCAGTCGGTTCTGCCTAGGTATCTCCTGCCCTCCCTGAACAGTGGCTCTCTTTGAACCCAAGAAAACCATCAGGGCTTGTCCATGGGGAGAGCAGCAGAGTAGCCCCCACATAGGTCAACCCAGGAGAATTGACTCCAATTGTGACAGGGCATTTTTCTTCTTAGTGGGGCCAACCTTGTGTTCTAACTTTGACCACCATGGCAGAAAACTGTTTCCCTAGCTCACTTCATCCTAACCATATCCTTACAAAGCTGGTGTCCCAGCCTCGTTTTCAGCTGGTGGCATCTAGGTTCTCAGAGTATAGGTGGCCAGCTCCCCGGTGACCTCACACCTCTGTACAGTTACTAGGTGTTTTGCAGTTTGCAGAATCTTCTCACATCAATAGTTCCTTGATCCTACCACCTTTTGGAATCTCTGTTATTGAGGGGTATGGGATGACAAAGTCACCCAGGCCCAGAGCAGGGCAGGACTGGGCAGGACCCATGCAGGCTGGTACATCAGGCTGCCACCACCACCCTTTGACACACCCTCCCTCTGGACTGCTTAGCAGTGTGGGTTCTGGGGACAGGGGTCTGCATTTCAGCACACCCTTGTTTGTGCATGCTCTGAGCGTGGGTATTGCCTTCAGCAGGCAGAATTCCTCCTCCTAAAATGGAGATACCGCTGTTCAGGGGGCAGGGGACTCGGGGGCACAATGGCTGTGAAAAGGTTTTCTCAACTGGAAGTCAGAAGGGGTCCTGGAGGACAGGGCTGGCCCATCTGAAAAGTGGCCAGGAGAAGCCAAGTGTCATACTAGCCTGGGTTATTCCCAAGTCTGGTCATTGTGCACTACCACCCCTTTGTGTGTGTGTGTGTGTGTGTGTGTGTGTGTGTGTGTGTCTGCGTCTGCGCGCTGTGCACAGGTGTGCAGGACTGCACATCTGTCAGTATCAGATGGAGGTTTCCTGAAGACTATACCATTTTTCAAGACGGGAACAAGGGGCATTTCAGAATGCAGTTAGTTGATGGTTTGAAGTACTCCCTCCAGAGTTCAAGCGCCCTTAGAGATGGCCCTGTGGTGGCAGGGAGGGCAGACATGAGCTGCTCAGAGCCCACCAAGAACGGGGCTGGGGGTGACAGGCGTTTCTGGGAGTCCCCTCCCATCATGGTAGCCTTGCTTCACACCTTCCTTTCCTGCTTGCCCGTCCCTAAACTTGAACAGGAAGGACACGGATTGGCACCCGAAGGGTTATTTACAAAAGTGGACCACTTTGTACCCTCCCCAACATAATACGTTAATCTTAATTTTTAATTATGTATGTACGTTTTTGATCCATGTAACCCAGGATGGCTCCAGATTTCTCTCTAGTGGAGTGTGACTTTGAACTTTTGATCCTCCGGCCTCTGTCTCCCCAGAGCTGAGATTTCAGACATGTTCCAGCCCAGCCACTTTCTCCATGCTGGGATAGGACCAGGGCTTTGTGCTGGGAGGCAAGCACCCTATCAAGTGAGCTACACCGTCCGCCCATAAAATTTTACTTCTGTTTTGATCTTTGAGTAGGAAATGATGAAGATGCCCCAAAGGGCCCTGAGCTTTTATTAAGACTACATGAGTCTCAGTCTCGGTGTTCACCCCATCAGCTTCGTTCTAGGCCCTAGGATTACTTCAAAGAATAAACCAGACAGAGGCCCCACCCTGGAGAGCAGCTAAAGGACACAAAAGTGAAAGCTAAAAATCCAGAGGAGGGCCCTGTGTGGACAGGAGTTCGCTGTGCTTGGTGTGCATGCAGACCTTGCGGCCTGGACTCCCAGGTGCTGGGGTCTGAGCAGCAGAACAGAAGCAACCTCTTGCAGCAAGGCCAGCTCTGGGAGCAGGTGCAGAGCTGGCCAGGGGCCACGTCACCGGGGAAGAAGTGGAAAGGTGATGGTGAAGGGCCCCGAAGCAGAGGCCATGTAGTGTTGGAGCAAAGGGCTCTGTGCGTGGCAGGGACCCAGGGGCCTGTCCAGACTGGTGGTGCTCATGGGCTTGACCCCGAGTTGTCCAGGAAGACGTTAACTGACACGCTCAGGTCCTACAGCTAGTAGAATGGGGATCTCTGACTCAGAACACAGACTCCCTGACGCCACTGGTTGGCACCTTCAATCACTGTACTGGATTGCCTGCTGGGCGCGTGGCACACACATGTGTGGACGTCTGTGAGAGGAAGGAAAGAGTCATTTCCCCCATCCCATTCTCAGCCTTTCCTTAATATTGCTGGAACCTCCTTTTATGGAGTAACTTATAGGGTGTCAGGATAAAAAGCCTGAAGAGATGTTCCCACCTGTCCCCACATCCCACAGTGCTCTGGATTCTAGCTAAGGCATGGGCTTAAGGATATCAGAAGAGACAAGGGAAAGGGGTATCTCCTGTTAAAACTGCATTTGCAGGCTAGGGATAGTTCGGTTGGTAGTGCTTGCCTAACATGCGTGAAGCCCTGAGTTTGACCCCCATCATCGCATAAACCAGGAGTATTGACTCACGCCTGCAATCCCAGCACTTAGGAGGCAGAGGCAGGAGAAACAGAAGTCCAAGGTCATTCTCTGCTGTATAGCAAGTTTGAGGTTACTAGTGAGATCCTATCTCAGTAAGTAAGTAAATAAGGAAACACGCAAACAAAACAAAACCCCATGGTTTCATGGAACTCCAACACACACACACTGCATGCATGCATGCATGCACACACACTCCATTGGTG